TGTTTATTTCAATCAATCAATCTAGTACCTATCAATCATTCAAACTAGATGTTGTAAACAAATTAATGGTTATGTTTTTATTCTCGTATGTTACCATAACATCCTTAAACCCTACCTGGGGCCAGTGTTAACCATTAATTTTAAGACCTCTCCAAAATGTCATCTTCAACTTGAATCTCCTCTCGGAGACAGCCAAACCAAATGTTCAGCCCGCAATTCCCTTTGTACTCCTCCCACAGAGCTTAAAATATTTTCGTTGTTGTGAAATCATTAAAGTTAAGCAAAATATTTTCATAAGAAGCATTAGTGAATTTCGTTAAATATTCAACTGTAATTTTTCAGAAGTTAAAAAAACGTATTTCAATACTGATCAACAATAAGTCACCCCCGACCATCCCCAAATAATTCGTAAGATTTTTTCTACTATTAATATTCATTATATTAATATTCGTGGGGTGGCGAGGAGAGTGTGTGACACCAGTTCTCGTTAGATCACTGAAGTTAAGCACACTTGTCCACAGCCAGTAACTGGATTGGTGTCCAGACTGGTGTTCACGGGTTCGATTCCCGTACTCCACACAAACCTGTGGTTTCAAAAACATCTGAAGCCGATATCTGGTTTAGCAGTTATGACCACCTGACGGATGTAGGAGGACAGAGGGGCGGCTGTCAACAACTCTCGCAGTGAAAGGGTGCGTGCTTTCTACTCAACAAGAAAGAAGCTTCAAGTGGGATTGATCCAAGTGAATGACGATGAAGAGAGGAATGGTGGACAAGCAGGGAGAGTCTATGGTTGCCAGCTATAGGTACCTGGGGGTATCCAATCCGGGCTTACAGATGTTAGGGAGCAATGAGTGTGATGTTTCCTATCAGTACGGCACCCGAGCCTCATTCCAGTATATCAGAAGGATTCCTGCACTCTATATTCTCAGGCCTAAGAAGAATCTTAGGCAGCTGGAATCTTGTCAACCCTCTTCTCAGAATGAATGAAGCGTGGATGGATGAATGTGCTGCCAGATTACAACCCCTGGTAGATCAATATAAAAACCCAGACAACACCAAACTTTCGCAATAGAAAAAATTCCGAGATTTGATCGTAACAACCCGATCACGTCCTGGGGACAAAAAAATCTCTTTTAAAAAAATATTCATTATAACATTGTACAAGTAACCATGACCTATAATTTATGTTATTTTTTAGGAAATAAAGATTTTGTTATCGAATTTCTGAGACGGGGTTACTCTGTTGTGCGTATTTGTGCGGCCTATCGGGAAAGAATTGTCCGGGGAAAAAAAACATCCCCCACCAGAATCCTAACTGGCCTATTATCCTGATTTGTCTAGCGTGTTGCTGTTTTCCGTCAACAAATATATGTCTAGATTGCGGAGTCTCCATGAGAGCTGAGGAACGTATACTGGGAGGTTTAGAAGCAGGATTTAAACAATTTCCCTGGGCTGCGATTGTTACTGTTACTGGTAAAATTGTTATTTTTTTTAAAGATTTTTTTCGATGCAAAAAAATACTTTTAAATCTTTTTATCTGAGAAGTTATTTTTTAATAGATAAAGGTTTAAAATGCACCAATTTGAATCGTTTTAGGGCCTTTTCAGTGGAACAATGTAGTGGCTCAAACGAAACTTGATTTTTTTTCTGACATCTGTTTGTTCTAGAGGCAAAAAGTTAAAGAATTCGATTAATTAATTAATTTTATCTTAAACCAGTATAATTAAACCCAATTCAAATCTTAAAACTGTAATGACAAACTAGATTGTATTGTAATGTATATATATAGTGAGAACCAGAATATAAAAAGCCTTTGTTTTTTTCTTTTACCTCCGAAATGTATGTATAATGTATAAAGGCTAAACTCAAACATTTCTGAAAATGTTTAGGATTTTCAAACAGTTTAGTTGCAAAAGAAAATAATTTCATTGTTTTTTTTGGTTTCCATTTTTGGGCAAAAATCTTTTTAAAAGGTGTTTGAGATCTTCTTTCCAAAGTACTAGCAAGTCATTTTATTTTAGTTTATAAATATTAGTGGAAGTTTTCATTCATATCAGAAACGTTTATCATCTTTTTTCCTTGTAATTAATTATTAAAGATGATGTATTTTAATAAAATTAAAATACCATATTTTCCCACATCCTGCTGGTAAAGGAATTGAGTCTTTGCCACAAACTCTACTTTTCTTATCCCTATATCTTTGGATTCCAATGTCGTAGACCTTAGATATTTCAAACTATGAATTCTGTTAGATCAAATAATGTAAGTTTGAAATATCAAAGATTTGCGACATTTAATTCTAAAGATATAGGGATTATAAATTCAGAGTTGGTGGCAAAGACTCAATTCCTTTTTCAGGTCATGGTACAAGCACGGTTTTCGAAACACAAAAATTATGAGTTTATTTCAAGAAATGTTATTATACATAATTTAACATGTGTTTTGGTTGATGTTCAAGGAAATTACATAAATAAAACGTTTTGTTGATGTTCAGGAAATGATTGAGATAAAATGTTTTGTTGATGATTCACCATTAAATAAGTAGGGTTTAGTGGAAAGTGGTTTAGGAAATGATTGAGATAAAATGTTTTTTTTGTGGCTTAGGAAAGGATATACATAAAATTTTTTGTTATTGTTTAGGAAAGGATATATATAATGTTTTGTTGATGTTTTGGAAATAATTTAGATAAAATGTTTTGTTAATGTTTTGGTAAGTATATATATAATGTTTTGTTGATGTTTTGGAAATAATTTAGATAAAATGTTTTGTTAATGTTTTGGTAAGTATATATATAATGTTTTGTTGATGTTTTGGAAATAATTTAGATAAAATGTTTTGTTAATGTTTTGGTAAGTATATGATTAAGATAAAATGTTTTGTTTATGTATAGGAAAAGTATATGATATAGATAAATGTTTTGTTGATGTGTAGGAAGCTAGTGATATATAGATACAATGTTTTCTTGATGTTTAGGGAAATGATATAAATAAAATGTTTTTTTTGATGTTTAGGAAATAATATTGATAAAATGTGTGCTGGAACACTTATTTCGCTAAGGTAATTCCAGGTCTTTATCATAGCATGAACTAAACAATATTTCTGTTATGCCCAGTTTAAACTGCCGAAGGGAGAGGGGGGGGGGGGTTGCTTTTGCTTATTCTCACCGGCCGCGCTACGATTTTAAATGTCTCCTTGAAACATTCTAACTTTTTAAAGATTTTGTTTCATAATAAGTGAATAACGGCCACACATACGGGATTATTTACATTATCAAAACCCAAACAGAAAATGAATAGATAATATATATGTGCCATTTATGCATGTAAAAGCATTGCACGTTTACATAATCGGCCATAATGTCTTTTGCCGGATAGGGTGGAGAGGGACGAAGTGAATAAATACTAAAGTGAAACAGACAAAATAAAGACGACTAGTTGGGCCATGCGCAATTATTTGGTTTGGTAAAATATCTTTTTTTCGGAAACCAATTTATGATGGAGGACTAGAAATAGTTAACAACTATTTATTTTGTCTTTACAAAAACTTGAAATTTACTCAGTTAAAAATAATTCTCATCAAAAAAATTATGATATGCACTAAAGTTTCGTTCTCAGCTACGGATAATACCATGGGCTTATTAATTCAACATCTGTTAACTCTTCCAAAAGCTTCAACCTATATAACGAATTTGGTTTATGAAATTCAACTGGAAACTTCAGAAACCTTAACTTAATTATAAAATGTTAATTACAATTTCTGCATGTTCATTTAGTAATTCAGACCATAAATATTTAATTTTTTTTTATCTGAGATAATCTAATTTAGATAACAGTTGTTAATGGATGATCACTTAAAATCACATTTATAATATAAAACCTTTCATAATGCAGTTTCTGGATCTAATCATCTGAGGCGTTTGTTTCTCTCTAACACCTTCGTTTATTAGTATCTCTGCAGGAAATTATGCATTTCTTTGTCAACAATCATCCATAATGTCTATAAAACGAATATTACACTATTTATTTATTGGTCACTGTTCACTAAAGTCTTTGTAATTTTTTGTTTTAACATTATAACTTTGTGTTCTGTAATTTCACGTAAGTTCTAGTATAAAGTTTCTAAACAGAAGTAGCTCACACTGTACACTGTACAGTGTACACGCATTACAAACAGATTATAAGGGCCCCGCAATCCAACTATGAGTTTGGCCCACTATGGTATTTATTCACTTTGAGCGAGGGACGCCTCTCACTAGCTGCTAAACATACTCCCCCCCCCCCCATGTCCTTATCACAATAAAGGAAGAATTGGTACACATATCTTATTGAAATATATTGTTCTGTAGATTTGTTGCAGCAGCTGGTCATTTTATAAGATACTGTAAAAAACAATCAAACCTCAACCCCCCCCCCCCCCCCCCCCCGTTACCTATTTATCTATACTGTACTGTAGATTTGTTGCTACAGCTGGACATTGTACAAGCTACTGTAAAGATCAAGCTCATCCAGAATGTAAGGTGGGTAGCTAGGGGTAGGGATATTAAAGCTTTAAATTAGTTGCGTGGAAAATTGTTTCCATATCCATCCCCTGAAAAAATAATGAGGGAGAATCATTATTTAGCGTGTTAGAGTTAAAAAGGTTAGAGGAATCATGCTCATATGCAAAAGTAATTATTGATCGATGGTTTTCTTAATTACTTTTAATTAAATAAATGAGTGTATCACAAAAAGCTTATATGTCGAAAAATTTTCAAATTATATTTCAATCAACGTTTTTGAAACAGATGAATCCAGCGGAAGCTGATTTTTTTTATTTTTTAGAGACCTGTTCCGGCCGACGAGTTGACTTTCAAAGTACAGCTTGGGGAATATGATTACGTGAATCGGCGGCCAAATCAGGTAGGCTTATTCGATTCTTCAGAACCAATTACAGTTCAGGTTTTCAAAGATTACTTTTTGCATACAAATGCCCATAGGAACAAACTTACTTTAGTCGCTATGGGAAGTTGGTCTTTTAATTTGGAAATTTTTGATCAAATATTAATGGAAGATGTGATAAATTTGTTATGTCTAGCTATTATATTCTTTATATTGTCCATTAAAAGTTTTAAGGTTTCTAGAATTTTAAAGTTTAGATTAACCAGGACTTAAACCTGTAATTATCACACCGTTTAATGCACAACACTAGCTTCGGCTTTATAAAGCTTTTATGAGGTCTACGGGAAAGAGGCGGGGGGGGGGGGGTGTAGAGTTTCGAAAAATTTTAGGTGTTTTCGTAGATTTGGACAATAATCTTTTTATACATTTACATTTAAAATTCAGATTTAACATCACAGAGGAAATATTAGTTTAATTAGTTTAAAAATTAAGACTGTTCAGTGTTCACTGTTCATCTATCTTTAAAAATGTCTATTTTACGAAGGAGTTTCCCTTAGAAAATTTTTTATCATAAATTTTTTATATTGGGTGGGGGTGGGGTGTGAGTGGGGGGTAGTTAAAAAGAAATATTCTTAGAGATTAGAGATATAAAAATCTAAAAATATATGTGATGCATTTATCATTTTGCATTTGAGCAAAAAACTGTGTTTGTTAGAGAAAATAAGAAATAGTCGAAAAAGTAAAAAAATAAAACTTTTATTGATCATAACTGTGTGCCTAGGAAACCCGAACATATCATGCTGTGAACCTTTTCCTGCATCCAGACTATAGAAGCAATATCAGGTTAATATATTTATAGCATCAAGATATATACACCAGGATCCTTGAACTATTAATGTATATAGACCAGAATACTTCAAATACATAGTATTAAATACTTTTTTGTCGGCATATACGTTTTGAATGAAAAAGTATAGAATAAACAAATCTATAGGTTTTAATATTGTTAAATTATAGACCAAAACACGTTTTATTTCAAATAGAAGAAACCAAATGCTTCTAACTCTGGTTAGTTCGGGGTGGCTGTGATACTTCAAATATTTAGTATCAAGATAAATACTTCAAGATCCTTCAAATATTTAGTATCAAGATATATACACCAGGATCCTTCAAATATTTAGTTTCAAGATATATACACCAGGAAACTTCAAATATTTGGTATCAGGATAAATAAACCAGGATACTTCAAATATTTAGTATCAAGACAAATACATCAGGATCCTTCAAATATTTAGTATCAAGATATACACCAGGATCCTTCAAATATTTAGTATCAGGATATATACACCAGGATCCTTCAAATATTTAGTATCAGCATATATACACCAGGATCCTTCAAATATTTAGTATCAAGATAAATAAACCACGATCCTTCAAACAATTAGTATCAAGATATGTAAACCAGTATCCTTCAAATATTTAGTATAAAGATATATTATACACCAGGATCCTTCAAATATTTAGTATCAAGATAAATAAACCACGATCCTTCAAGCATTTAGTATAAACCATGATATTTCAAATATTTAGTATCAAGATATATACACCAGGATCCTCCAAACAATTAGTATCAAGATAATATTTATAATATTTATAATATTTATAATATTTTTTAATTAATTTGTTTGTTTCTCTTGTCGCTTGCGCAACTATCTAAGAATGCCGCACACTACTCACAATTTTCGAAATCTGTTGAAAACGTTTTCTAAAAAAATAAAATATTGTAAAACATAAACTATATACAAATGTGGCGAAAGATAATCGATGACTATAGGTAATATCTAAATGCTTTGTTAGAAATTAAATTGATTTTTTACGGTCTCCGTAGTATGTTGCAATTTTCTCACTTTGTATGGCCGCTAAGTTATTCGGTATGAGACGTCTTTAACAATTTTCTCCTTATAGACGCAACAGATAGAAGTAAGATTAGTAGCGATCAAAAGCGCTTTTTTATCGCATTAAGCCTATACCCCCTTTCATTTTTCACGATCACTCCCTTTAAGATATATAAACCAGTGGCCGAATTTAAAGAATTTGAGCGGCGGTTTAAATTTAAGCCGCGGTTTAAATATGGTTGGTTCCACTTAAAAGTGTATTAAAGGTTTCAAGATTTAAGCCGGCGCTTACTTTAAACTGCGCGGGTTTTAGCGGATTTAAACCTCGGCTCAAATTCTTTAAATTCCATCTCTGGATACTTCAAATATTTAGTATCAAGATCCGTAGGTCGCTGGTTCAAATCTGGCTCGAAGGATTGCCTTTTTTTTAAAGGAGTTATAGATATATACACCCGGATCCTCCAAACAATTAGTATCAAGATATATAAACCATGATATTTCAAATATTTAGTATCAAGATATAAACACCAGGATACTTCAAATATTTAGTATCAAGATATATAAACCAGGATACTTTAAATATTTAGTATCAAGATAAATAAACCAGTATACTTCAAATATTTAGTATCAAGGTATATAAACCAGGATACTTTAAATGCTATTAAGATAAATAAACCAGAAAACTTCAAATATTTAGTATCAAGATATATTAACCAGGATACTTTAAATATTTACGATTAAGATATAATACACCAGGATCCTTTAAATATTTAGTATCAGATATATACACCAGGATACTTTAAATATTTAGTACCAAGATATATACCAGAATACTTCAAATATTTAGTAACAAGATATATACACCAGGATACTTCAAATATTTAGTATCACGATATATAAACCATGATATTTTAAATGTTTAGTATCAAGATATATACACTGGGATACTTAAATATTTAGTATCAAGATATATACACCGGGATACTTCAAATATTTAGTATCAAGATATATACACCAAGATACTTTAAATATTTTGTTTTAAGATAAATAAACCAGGATACTTCAAATATTTAGTATCAAGATATATACACCAGGATACTTCAAATGTTTAGTATCAAGATATACGTATACACCAGGATACTTCAAATGTTTAGTATCAAGATATAGACACAACTATTCTACATATCCGATGATTAAAATCTGTTTTTTAAAGGGGGGGGGGGGGTAAAACATTAAATATAACATAATTGGGAATCTAAGAGCACTGGTTTAACAGAACGAATATTCATCCTTCGAGAATTAGCGCATCTAATCATTTTTACAAATAACGTGTTATATTTAGATTGGTCGAGACTGGTTTCCTAGAATCGGATCCAAAATATGACATTGCTATTCTCAAGCTAGACAGAGCAGTTAAACCCAGTTCATACATTACTCCTATTTGTCTTCCGGGTATAATTGATCAAAACACTAGGAATTTATCGCGCTTTACGTCCTAACATCCTATAGAGAGATTGTGAGTCATTTCATTATGTTCGGTTAACTTTAATATAAAATATTTTATATGCTTGATTTTTTAGTACGTACCTCCTACCTAGCCGTAAAAAAATCAAAATTACAATATTTTTTATATGTTTGGTTTTCTTTTCTTTCGGTTTTAATCTATTTATATCTAGAAGTTGGACAACTGCTTTTTCCTGATCTTGCTACAGTTATAGGTAAGAAAGTTAAACCACATCCTGTCTTTTGCAATATTGGCATCTGTATATTATATATACATACATATATATATATATATATATATACACTTACATGTATATAAATTGATGGCGCAGTGGTAAGCGTGTTTGATTCGTAATCCAAGGATTCATAGTTCAAGCCCCGCCAAATGCAAAATCAAAATCTTATGAGTTGAGCCATACTGTTGAGTCATAATAGAACAAAACACTGTGTATATTGATATATTATAAAGATATATATATATATATATATGCACAACAAAGAAAATGGCGGCATAGAAAGCAATATTTAAAGGCTAAAATTAGTCCAAAAAAAGACATTCACAAATGTGTTTAATGACTGCGATTTCAATGTTCATTGTTGGACGCTCAAGCAACCAAAATAACCAATAACGTCAAATTACTAAATTTTTACTAAGGTTGTTTTCGGTTCTTGGCAAATTTTACTTGGATTTAAACCCATATTGAGATTTGTTCATAGTTTATTTGTATTTTACTGATTCAAAACTCAAAAGCTTAAGGACAGATTTAATAAGCTTATAATGAAATGTTCAGGATGGGGAAGGATTGGACGATATGTTGGAGACCCACATTCTAGCGGTAAATGATTTAATAAAGAAAATTTTTCTTTCATCATTAGTTTAATTCGTTCTTTTAAGCTATATGTTGGATGATTCACTTTTTCACTTATATAATACGTGCAGTACTTTTTGTACTTTACTGGATGAAAAAGAAGAATAAAAAACTTTTTTTTTGATTATCCTAAATACTTAATAGATGCCGCTTTGCGGCTACACCAAAGCTGACAGCTTTTAAATAAAAAGGATTTAATTCGATTTAAATGAATTAAAGTCATTACTCAGGACACATCAACCAAATGTCCGAAATTGACATCTGACATATTAATTGATTTAAATCGGTTAATAAAGCTCCCGTTTTACTTCAATATTAAATTTTTAAAACTTTCACATTTTGACCCTCTCATTGCAGCTGAACCGTTAATTGCATATAAAAAAATCCTAAAATACACAATAATTCACAATCTACATTATATTGGATTCAGATTGGAAATGCAATAATTTTTTATTGGTAAACGTCTTCTTACAAGATTGTCCTTAACTATATCAAAGTTTCTAGTAAGTTCTAGGCTGGTTGCATATCTTGAAAATAGGACTGCAGTGCGGAAATGAATTTCAACTATTTATGGTTTTCTCAATTCTGAATACCTCGGCTCTTGAGTTTAATTAATTTTGGTCCAGTCAAAACCTAGGCATCAAGAAGCAGAGCTAAATTAGATATACAATTTTGAATTATTTTATTTTTAAAGTGCATATTCAAAATTTATGCTTTGTAAGGAATTCTTTGTTATAGTGTAGTGTAGTGTAGTGTAGTGTAGTGTAGTGTAGTGTAGTGTAGTGTAGTGTAGTGTAGTGTAGTGTAGTGTAGTGTAGTAGTCCAGTCCAGTCCAGTCCAGTCCAGTCCAGTCCAGTCCAGTCCAGTCCAGTCCCAGTCCCAGTCCCTGTCCCAGTCCCAAGATTCAGTTTAAATCAAATTAATTCAATTAAATATTAGCAAAGTTACATGAAATAATTTTCTAAGAATAGTTGATTTATTACTCTTTACACAAATGAAAATCACAATTCATTCCTTGGAAAATTTATCAAATAAATATTTAACGTAGAATTAATTAGATTTGTGGACAACTTCTATTTTTAAACTTCCTGGGTCTTCTATTGATTGTTTAATTTTAGGTGGCCTTTGAATTTTGTAACTTTGCTTCATTAATTTTTTAATTGGCGACAATGTCATAATACCTTCGAATCGTGAGCGAGCGATTTGTTTTTTGCGCTAACATATGCAAATAAAACTTTGAAAAAAAATCGAAATTTTAGCGCTGGACGAAAAGACAGAAAACAAAAGATTTAAAAATGAAAGAAAGTGGCCCAATCTTATACATATCATGTGTCAGTGTCTGCATCATATAGATACAACTATGTACGTACTTTGTGTTTTGTCTGTCTATTTGTCCATTTGTATCCACGTCAAAGCGGCTGAACCGATCTGGCCCAAATTTTGTGTGGGCCCTCTTATGACCCCAGGGAAGGTCTGTGGATGCTCAAAATTACAAAAATTTAGCCCTAAAAGCCTTTTATATATAGATATATGTAATAAATATTGGTAGTAAACCATATATGTACGTGTACCTATACACTGCGTGTTAAGATTATCTGAACCCTAATTACGTTCTTTAGCTTCTGAGAAGACCTATCGGTCCATATTATTATCATGTACTAAGATTTGGTTTAATTACGTTCATTAATTTAACATGTGCTATAATTACCAGAAAAATTAGTTAGTTGAACATTAATCGCTGTTTTATTACGTTTAGACACGTGGTATTAATTGTTGTGCATGAGAAGCAGAGGGTCAGCTCGAGTTTTATCTCAAAAGATAGATTATACAGACTAAAGGAATATATATAGCGTCGTATCTGGATTGATACATAATGAAGTGTTATTGAGGAACCTCTAGAGCGAGTTGTATCTGTACGATACATACACCCTAATATAGAGGTTGTATCTCAGATGATAGATACTTGAGAATACAGAAGGTTATACCTGGATTGGTAAGACCTAGGAGAACTTGTTCGAGCAAGGCATTATATTGATTTGTGTTTGATTTAGTTTTACAAGCTGTAACTGTCCCTGTTCTGTCTGCTGAAGAGTGTGCAGAAATGGCAAGTATTTTTTAATCACATGTGATGCATTTCATCAACTTTGAATTAAATGATGCGATACAAAACTGATTCAAAATGGTGTGCTGTCTAAATCTTTCTAAAAACTGTCAAGAACTTACAGTATTTCTAAGAATCTTATTACCCCTGGAGTAGGGTATACGCCAGGTACTATACTGGTTACAGTCGGGTAAAACTAGAAGTATGTTTAAATAATTTAGTTTCACTGTGAACTAGACAGAAGGAGAAGGTCAAATTCATGCGAAATTACTGATGCGATGTTGTGAGCGCTTAGCTCCTTAAAGGGACAGGGTATGCTAAACAGCCTATTCGCTGTTGATTGGTAATAGTCTTACTTTTCAAAGACAACTGTGGACGGAGAAAAAGCCGATTTTTCGTTCAGAATTTGAACGGAAAGGGACGGTCCCAGGTCCCTCTCTATAGACACTATTTTATGTTTTTTTCAGTAACAGCAGCCCAATAACATTTTTATTATATTTTAATGGCATTATGTGTTCATTATTATTTCCTAAAATATGAAAACTTTTGATATTTGAGTTAGCAAGAAATTTACGTTTTTCTTATTAAAACATGTAAAATGTGTATACAAAGACGACGTCTATTCGACAATCAATTGATCATTACTCGTATTTCGGTTCGTAGATTTTGTAGATTTTGTTCCCTTATGTGCACAACTTTTCATTTTTCATGCCGCGTTCAATTCAGCTTTTTACACAGGCAATACACAATTTTTAATGCAACAAAATAGTGTTATTTTAGAAATAGAAAGTTAAAGAACAAGAAAAATTTAAAAATAATGACATTTACAATTAACGATTAGATACTACAGTTTATTTTATATTCAAAATTTATTTTGATCCATACTGAAAAAAAATCAAATAGTGTCTATAGAGAGGGACCGTCCCTTTCAGCTCAAATTCTGAAATCGGCTTTTTCTCTGGCCACAGTTGTCTTTGAAAAGTAAGACTATTACTAATCAACAGCTAATAGGCTGTTTAGTTTACACTGAAATTACCCAAATAAGTGAACGGTCCCTTTAAGTTTTGATTTTATAAGAAAAGAAATTTAGCTGTTTACTTATTAGATATTAAAAACATTTTAGTTCAACTCGATATCTCTTCATTAAGTGGAGTTTTGATCGAAAACATATAAGATTTCAATTTTTATTTTGGTGTGCTCTAATTATGTTATGAATGAAGTGAAATCTGGAATTATTAGTTTAAAATTGAACTCATACACTTAAATTTTGTAAACTAGGATGGATCCAGTTATCCTTCTCCAGATCAAATTTGTGCAGGACTCTCAAATTCAGATCAATCTTCATGTCCAGGTTTTTATCATTTATGAAATATACATGATACCCCATTTTTAAGTATTAGAAATACCACTAAACCCATTGCTTAAAATTTTGTAACGTTAATTGCGTGGATTTTACATACATTAAACTATCAATATCATAAATCAAAGTTTTAAATTTTTTGTCAAATTATTGTAAAGGAATTGCAAGTCAAACTCACATTTTCTAATCCCTTTATCTTTGCAACTTGATGTTGTAGAGCTTTCATATTTCAAACTATAATTTCTGTCAGATTAAAAAATCTAAGTTTGAAAAATTATCTTTTACACATTAACCCTAAACAGGCTTGGGGGAGGGGCGTTTAGCGCCCCCTGTACTTTTTTTGTCCTAGCACTCTCATTTTTGACACTATCACCGTGAAATTTTGTGACTTTTAATGAATAGTAATTTAAAGAATTTTTGGTGATATAATTTTTTTTTTTAAATTTCTAAGGTAGGGTACAGGGCGGAAAAAACGTCCGTTCTATGAAAAAAAAATCTAAAATAGCCCATAACTTTTTTGTGACTGAAACTACAGGTTTAAAACCATATTTTTGAAAAGCCCTTGAAAAATTGTATTTAGAAACATGTGTCATACTTTGATATTTGTTTAAAACAAAAAAATGACCCTTTTTTATCGGTCTAATTTTTTTTCTTTGTGCTGCCATGAAACATTGGGCTGTGAGCATGCATTTCAACCTTATACCTGTTCTCTAAGGCCTTTTTAGGGGGGGGGGCGCCCACAGCCTTTATTGGGGTAAGCTGCAAAGACATAGGAATTAGAAAATCTAAAATTGTGACAAAAAGTCAATTTCTTTGGTAAAATTTCAAAATCTATCAAAGTTTTTGATGTAGGTCTAAAATTGAATGTTTAAGAGCATTTTAAACAACACAAAATTACACGTTTGTAGTACAATATAAATCGACAATCATTATTGAAATTGCAAAAACTACCCTAAAAAATGTTCAAAAAGTTTTGGTGGCTTTTAATGACTTAAATAACTAGAATTTTAAGTTTGATAAGAATCTTTTTTTTTGTCAAATGGTGTATTCCTTCTAAAGGAATACAACATCAACAAAATCTGGTTCTCTAGGAGATTCCGGAGGAGGTTTGATGACAAGAGATATGGAGGAACGATGGTTTTTAATTGGCATAGTTTCCACAGGTAGCTTCAATTTCATAGTTTCCACAGGGACCTTCAATTTCATAGTTTCCTCAGATACCTTCAGTTTCATATTTTCAACTAAGTTCCTTTATCCCTGCAGATATGTTCCACACTTCATGATAACTTTAGTTTTATCATCCTTAGAGAATAGATGCTTGAGGATCCAACAAGGCCTTGGAATATTCCCTCCTATGTTTATTTTTAATTGCATCTTTAATGTACATCATTTGAACTTAAGGGATCCAAATCACCAAAAATGACATTCATATTGCGAACAATACCGATTTTTTGCATGCTTTCAATGATAAATGTAGGCCTCTCTGTATTAAAGAGATGAATACAATGTTTGTTTTATTTTAATGCACTTAATGTTGTTAAAAGGTTGACTTAAATAATAAAATAAAAACTAATTAAACTAAGCATGACATGTAAGAGATGGAAGTTTTACAACGCTTTTTAACATTTAAACAGGTGTTTAATAATAAACATAAATCATTTAAATATAATTTCCCATTTAAAGGACATGTTACTGGATAATTTTAAACCTAAAGTATTTTGCACATAAGATTGAAATCTTAAATGTTTTCAATAATAACTCGTCTTGTAAAAGAGTTAAGGATAAAAAATGAGTTGAATTTCTTTAATGTACAACCGGAGATGGAATTTAAAGAATTTGAGCCACGGTTTAAATCCGCCAAAACCCGGTTTAAATTTAGCGCTGGCTTAAATCTTGAAACATTTGATACAATTTTAAGGTGAACCAATCAAATTTAAACCGCGGCTTAAATTTAAACCGCCGCTCAAATTCTTTAAATTCGGCCACAGGTAAATTTGTTTTCCCATCACATAGATTCAGCCTCCTTATAAACAGTCTCATCAATTTTTAAGACTGGGTTGACTTTGAAGTGTCACAACGCCCTAAGCTTAGATTTTTTCGCTCTAACTCACTTATGCTTTTCTGTAGCCCTTTACATGTACATTTTAGCACTGTAAAGCACTTCTTGTTAGATTTGGTTTTTTAGAAGTAATTGGCAAAATTCTCAACGATTTTTGCTTGAGAGCGTGAGACCATTAAATCGCAGTGCATACTTGTGCGTCAAACCAAAATTATGAGAAGCTAATAGGCAACAAAGTTGTACCACTAAAGTTTGACCTCCTCCTTTTGTCCAGTTCAGTGTGATCGGTTTTATGTTAGAGGAAGTGTTCGCGAAAAATGAAAGGGGGTATAGGCTTAATGTGATAAAAAAGCGCTTTTGATCGCAACTAATCTTACTTTTATCTGTTGCGTCTATAAGGAGAAACTTGTTAACTAACATAGCGCCCATACAAATTCAGAAAATTGCAACATACGACTTAGACCGTAAAAAATCCATTCAATTTCAAACAAATCATTCAGATAGTACAATCTATAGTCATCGATTATCTTTCGCCACATTTGTATACCTATACCCCCTTCCATTTTTTGCTAACACTCTCTTTAAGTCAATACTATTTTTGTTCAAAAATAAGTGGAAAAACGCCAACTACTGGTTCTGAGCCCACGATTTAAAAGCGGCGGCTTTATTCTTAATTTCTTAGACCCAGGTTAATTGCTCAATCATAGACCCAACTTATGAATCAGCTGACGACAGCTTGTGTCTCGTGATCATTAGCTGTCAACGTTTGGGATCGACCTAGGGAGTTAGGCCCAATAAATTAAAACCCACTTTGGTTGGTTTTAGTGGACAATTAGTCTCAACCTCTTTGACCTCTTTGACCTCGTATCTGCCAATTCCAACCGTAAAAAAACGCCAAATACATTATTAAACCTGTGTTTTATTTTCCGAATTATTAAATCACGGGCTCTGAATAACCGTATAAATAGGTATGAACAACTCATACAAAGCTTGCATTTTATTGTTCTTTCTATTTTTTTCTATTTATATTTCTTTCTCTATTTCTTTTTCTTTCTTTATTTCTATTTCAATTTCTATTTTTATAAATTTCTATTTTTATAAATTTCTATTTATTTTTATTCATATTTCTATTTTTATACGTAATTTTATTTCTATTTCTAGGTCCCTCCGAGTGTGGACTTACTCCTGTTATTTATCATAATGTTTCCCATACAATTCATTGGATTAGATCTATTATTACAAACCACGGAGCAAAATATTCAAGTCAAGAAAACCCAATGCTAAACCGTCGTAACAAACCCTGTAAATGAATAAAAATAACTATTTATCTCTTTATTACAGGGAGGCAATAGGGGTGCAAAACACATGGGAGGTCCCAAAGCATCCCTGCTATGCTCGTGATGCTTAAGGTCTTGGGCACGGCAATGTAATGCCACGGCAATGTAATATTACCTCCAATGTTTATTGCATCCTTGGTGTCTCACGTGAATGAAGAGATATGTAATTTTAAACAAAGGAATTGAGTCTTTGCCACAAACTCTGATTTTCTAGTCACTATATCTTTGGAACCAAATGTTACAGACCTTCGATATTTCAAACTATGAATTCTGTTGAATCAAATAATCAGAGTTTGAAATATCAAAGGTTTACAACATCGAGTTCTAAAGATATTGGGGTTTAAAACCCTCAACTTCTTAGCAGCAGAAGAATTCGCAATTAATTAGATTAAAATTCTTTTTTAACAAAATTAAAAAAAGAGCAGTGAATTTTTTTGTATCTTCTTTTTATCTGATCAAACATCTGTTTTCTGTTTTTTTCTTTTAGATCTACGCATTCTAGTCTCTTGTAGACAAGGGAAAATTAAATGCATTTTGACACATATTTTTGATTCATTCTAAGAAAGTTACTGTTTGTGAGTAGATATCAGCTGCATTTGCAGTTTTTAGAATGTTTGACTCAACAACTGTTGAACGTTATCTTCAATTTCATTTCATATATTTATTCAATTACAAAGCATAAGATATTACAAATAAGCAATCACAATTCACTATGCAGTTTGGACCCGCCTAACCAGGGTTGGTTGTTTTGAGTGGTTGGCCAGAAGTTAATTAACGATACTGAATATAATTGGTTACACATATCAAGATATGTTTTTGGATAGGTAAGGAGTTGATTGGAAGAAAGGAGATTGTCAGGTGATCTGTGGCAGGGTGAGATCAGAGGGATTTTACTGAAGAGATAAATTAAATACAGGGTGTTAATGATGGTAGATACAGAAACAGAAATAAACTAAAAAGTTTTAGTTTTTTGAAATAAAATTTATTCACATGATATACAAACTAGGTTTTTTGCATTTAAACCTCTCATAATTCTCAAGATAAATCATGATTACTCTTTGTTTAAATACTTTTGCAGATTTAGTTTCTTTAAGGTCAATTTCAATTGCATTCCACAATTTAGGAAACATTGCGGACGGAAAGCTTTCTATATTTTTGTTTAAAACCCGTTCTAATTTATATGATTTTGTTCTAATCGGTTCAGCTAAAGACTTAAACATGTTTTGGAAGGAAGAGGGTGTTTCGCTACTTAGCGATTTCCCTAAAGACCTAATATATATACCGTGTGGTATTTCTCAGGACCGGATCGTAAGACTCCCTTCTCTCAACGCTCTTCATAATAAAAGGATGATAGTAAGGTTCCGAACGTTTATTTCTCTGAGCCTTCAATCTAAATAAGTTTAATAAACCCACAGAAAAAGCTTTGAGTGATGAATCATACAAATACAACAAATAATTCACTCAGGCATTAAAAAACTGTGGCTAGGAACCAACAAACACATATATAAATATCAATCATACTGTAATCAAAACGATAAGCATAAGTATATATAAAAATAGTTACCACAGTGATCCCAGAATTCTGGACACGGTTAAAACTTGCAAGATGAATAAACATATACTGATATAAACTATTCACTACTCCGCGAGAAATCTTGCGCCTGCGTAGTCAGTCTGCAAACAGTTCCTAAAACTAGTTCTTTCACAATACATTCCGTACAGATCTTCAGGGAGAACTCAGAAATACACAGGGGTGACAAGCAGACTTTATACACGCAGCATGGCTCGCGTAACAGGGAAGGTTATCATTAAAGTATCCATGCATAAATGTCAGAACACAAAATTTGTATGTATCATCAAGATTAAGAACTTTCAGTTTTGAAAATTATGGATTTGAATGTGCCTTCAAATCCTTAAAACACAATTTCCTCAATATTCTTACAGGTTGGAAAAATAAATGTCACTAAGTGGGGTTTGAAAATTCTGTCAGAATTCTGCCTTAATAATAACAAATGGGATAAGAAAGGTAAGGCTAGGAGTGGATATTTTTGACAAAAGAATTCTTGATTCTTGTAAGTGCATCTCGGACACAGTGCTTCAGAATACGTTCTGTTTACAGCAGTCTTTTCCTTGCTTAAATAATCACAACCAATCAGGATTCTACTCTCTATGTTTCTATTTTCCTTGTTTCTGGCAAGAGGGAAGGTGAAGATAAAAGATAGGAAGATGCTTACAGATAGAACCAGATTCAATCAAAAGAATTAACGTCTTTCCAACGAGTTTGGATACTTAAAAACAGCTAACCAGGCTTGTTATTAAGAAGTATATTTGAAGCTCCCAGTAGCAAAATCTGGATCCAACTAGGTACAAAACCTCCATTCTCCAGGTTAATACTGCGTTAAAAGATTAATTCGCATTTAATTAGATTTCATCCCTAGGGTTGCAATCTAACATTGCGAGCCTGGTTTCAGGTTTGCAATGTTAATATCAGGGATTCAATAGTGTCATAATTTCGTTCAAAAGTTGGAAAAATATATTTTCTTCATTAATTGAGGATTTGACTTTTCCTTCAGAATAAATCACGTGAACATGTTTCTCTTTTCACTTACAGTCCTAATTATAGTATCAGCATATTAAAAAATAATTGTTGTTTTGATGTTGAGAGTGTTTTTTTTCTTTCCTTGTGTTATACTTTTTAGTTCCCTTTTTAGCTAATTTACAGACCGCTGAAAATAAATTGCGATTTGGTAAACTCTGTGATATTGAT